GTGAGTAGTCCATGTTCAAACTCTTACACAGTCACTACGCCTTCTCGGAGGATAGCAGAATTTCGCCACAACGCTTGGTTTAATTTTATATATATTTACACCGGGTAAGTTAGTATTTAATTTTTGTTTTTCAGTCCTTTCCGAACGTACGTCGGAAGTCATTTTATGATGGTAAAATAATTCGAGGATAAAATACGGACTGGTCAGTGCGTGTCTACAGTAAAAGATATTTTGTTTTTGATTGACCAGGTTACTTTTCCACCCAGTACCTAAGAAGATGCCGTTGTCAAAAATGGTATTTGTTTTTGTCGCGTTGCGTAATACCTAAGGTATTATAATATGGTATACAGCGGGTTACTAATGTCAGTTTATGACGCAAACATTATAAATAATCGTTGTCAATGCCATGTATAGCATAAACGTTGAAGAAATACTTTTTAATTCCGCGTTTTATTGCATTGAGTTAATAATACAATTATTGCTATCACGATAAATGGAAAGAAACTGTTTGACCTTTTAAAGAAATCTCATCGGCCTGGTATTATAACCCATTTTTTCCTATTAAATTTTCGCATAATGGCCGAGTCGATCCGATACCGATATTTACGTTTTGGCTAATTACAGTTTGATCGGGTTGAACGCAAATTAAATGTTTGATTGTCAATTATTGCTAGTTAAGTTCTTCCTGTCCCTTTATTCAATTTTCAAGAATAGTGTCTTCACAATGCGCGGTCACTTTTTGTTGATTAACTGCACGCAATGGTGACAAGTGCGGATATGCGATAATGAAAACATAACACGCAGATTTTCGATTGTTAGCCTATAAAGGAACGTGCACAAGAACACTTTTTATCATGTTGCCCATGTTGGTATAAATTGGTCATTTCCATTTTCTTTTCTATATTTTATAATTCTTGCTTTGACTGACATCTTCAATTGCCGTCTTTTTCTGAAATTTTGTGGCACTCATTCCTTATTTATATACGAAATATAGTAAGTATGCCTGTGCTCGGAGTGGTTAATGTAGTAGTGTTTGGTTGCTAATGCGCAATGTGTAGTTTTTTTTGCGCAATGTGGTATAGTGTAGTCGTATGCGCAATGTGGTGTAGCAAAGATTTATGTGCAAAGTGGTATATTGCAGTTTTATGAACAATGTTGTATAGTATAATTTTATGCGCAATATGGTATACTTTAGTTTGATGCGCAATGTGGCATAGCGTAATTTGATTCGCAATGTAGGGAGAACTGCCAGGTCTTTATGTAATCTCCCATAATGCACCTTTAATAGTTAAAAACTAGATAATGTTAAGGGAATTTGCTGAAAATGTCAGTCAAATTGATCCACTCTGAACCGAGAATTTAGCGATTGAATTATGGGCCTAGCCTCGACCATTATTACTAAAGTCGGTATCCATTTCCTAATTTAAGCAGCGTTGAGCAGCAGATCGGATCCTAATTCAGTAAATATCACAGACTAGCGATGAAACCGAGAGTTGATTATGGTCTGGATAATAATTTAGATGACAGTTCAGGCCTAAAGAAAGACCTGCAATAGGCAGCTTTATCTCTTACATAATGTATGTTTAAGTTTGTGTGCAATGTTGTATTGTACAGTTTGGTGCGCAATGTCATATGGTGTATCTTTATGCGCATTGTGGTTTTGTGTAGATTGATGTACAAGGCTGTATAGTTTAGATTGTGATGCGCAATGTAATATATTTAAGTTTGATGTTCATTGTAGTTTTATGCTGCAAAATATTTTCTTTGTAATTTGTCTATAAGCTGAACACTGTTTTCTTTATATTTTGTCGATTTTGAAAACAATGTCTAGATCTTTTTTATTATTTTATATTTTTATTTAATTTTTGGACATATACATATCGCGTGTATTTCTTTCGATCCAATCGGCGATCAATAGGAGGCTGCAAACATTAAAAAATAGGATTGTATGTTTTAATCCTTGCATCACATGGATTCTTGGGAACACCAGTTTCTTTCATTTCCCGGTTTAAAGCTTGCGCTTTTTATTTCTTGATCGAGAAGGTGCTAATTTGTTGTTAGTTTGCATTAATGTTTACCCTTTTTTAATAAAATAAACTTCAATGGATATTGGGTTTTGCATTGTCTCAACATTTTTCTGTGTTCAATTTAATCGTGCGTCAATGAAATGAAATGGGGTTTAACGTCCTATGGTTCTGCTCCGAACTGGGATAATGAAGGCGCCATACACCATACAATGTCCTATGAGGGTAATTGTTTTACGGCCTACTCTTATATCGAATTCCAACTGCCAAGGGTTTTCACGTGCACGTGGAGGATGCAAGTACAGTTAAATCGATTAAAATCTACTGGAAGAGCTAAAGGACCAAGGCTATCCGTTATATTACGACCTGATTGACTTTATTGAACGAGTTTAATCCAAAACAAAAAAATGTATAAACTTAAAACACCATAAAATGGACACTGGTTAGTTCCACCCACTAATAATCAGAAGGTCCTGGGCTGGATCCCGGTATTGGCCGCCACGCTAAAGATCCCCTGGCAGTTGAATTTGTTTTTTAACAAAAAGTATGCCCTTGCGACACTGGCCACACTGCATGGCGTATGTCTGCATAGGAGAGAAGCAAGATAAACAGGAGAGAAGCAAGATGTGAACCCCATTTCATTTCATTTACCAAATAAATGAAATTGTGTGCATTCAATTTTGGTTTTATTTAATGTACGTGTAATCTCATTGTTTTATAATTTTCTGTTCCAAATCCGTTTTGAAAGCCGATTATAGATTTAAATGACCATATTTATTTAGTTACTTACTTATTGCCCATTGATACAGCTGAGTTTTAGTTAATATTCATTTATTATAATTAATATGTAAACATTTATCTTCGTTGACCATACACACAATTAACAAATACTGACCATTTCAATCATGTCGCTTCTGGCAGTTTAGGTTGATGTTAAATATAGACGAGGATCGGTCAATCATATTGATATAATTATTGGTGGCAATCAGTCTAATCTGACTGAAATAGCAAATCTCCGTCTTTAACACGAACTATTTCTGAGATTTAACTCAACTTGAATTTTACCGATGGCAGGACAACATACACGATTATTGACTACCTAGCTTTTAACAATAGAGGTGTCAGAGCAGATTTGATCAATTTGTGAAAGTGCAACACGGGATAAGACAAATATCGCGCTTGGCACCCTCAGGCTGCAACCTGCCAACAATCATCATTGATTCTATCAAAGGATGCAATTTTCTACGGCCTATATGCCGCCAAATTTACTTCGAATGACTTGATCGCCAATATGGCCTCTACGCTACGACTTGAAAGCTACTTTAATAGCTAAATGTTTGAACTGGTCTGGCCATGAATGATCTTTCCAGAAATCTTTTCTGGCCCCTGGCAATGGCAGAAAAGCATTATTGAGCTTATTGGAACACGACAAACGGTTTAAATTTGATTTCTGTCTGAAGAATGAAGACGCTGTAGTTAGATTGTTGGTTGTAATTGTTAGCTATAAAGAAAGTGTGCTTGGCTTGTTAAGATTTTAATAAAGCGGATGTTTATTTGTTAGTTTTGTCATCTTAATTAATTGCATTTTAGTTAATAAAAAGTAAAATTCATAAAATTGACCATCCAGGCGTAAAATGACCGCAATATGAGGGTTAAAATAAGAATACCCACCTGACTGCTTAGTGATCACACAAAGACCGGAACCGATATTTTTCACACGGATGTGGTGCGGGTTTTTTTTTTAAAGTGGGTGTGATTTCTGGACAAATTGAATTAGATTTTGACATGATTATTTTCTGTCCAAAATCAAAATAGTGTCATATATTTTCCTGATTTCTATTATTAAAATGTAAATCCATATATGGAAAATTGAGGAGATAACCGCAGATTTGAAACCCCAAAACTTTCGCTAGTATCACGAAGACAAACAAGTATCTGTACAGCGTTTGTGCTTAGAATTGTAAAGGAAATACTAGCTATGTGTTATACAAAGAAAAAAAAATTAAAATAATGTTATACAATTCAGTCAAAAACAAAATTGCATTGATGAGCTTTTTGATCCAAGAACTTGCACATTATACAGCAAGTGTAGCATTCTGAAATCAATAAGACTAGGCCGGCGATTGACAGCTATTGTTTAAAAGATTAAAATGGGCGTGGTTGTAAAAGAGGGGGTGGAGTTATTTTGGTAGGTAATTACACTAATTACGTTAAAGGGGTGTAGTTTATTCTAGGTTTTTGGATTATTATCAGTAAATCACTAATTAATGATGGGGCGATAGGTGGGTCTTCATTGATCGATCTTAAAATTGACGAAAATGTACCTTCAATGCTATTAAATGAATACAAAATGTAACTTCAATTCTATTAAATGAATACAAAATGTAAGTTCAATTCAATTCAATTCTATTAAATGAATACAAAATGTAACTTCAATTCTATTAAATGAATACTAAATGTGTCCAAATTTAGTGGAGTAATCTTAATAATTCAATAGATATCTAAATTTATGCGGGCCATTTTTATGTTAAACGAAAACACATAGGAAATGAAATGAAATGAAATGAAATGGGGTTTAACGTCCTACTGTTCTGCTCCTACACTGGGCTAATGAAGACGGGCATACGCCATACAGTGAGCTATGAGGGAAATTTTGCCCGGGCAGCGGCACAATCGCCTACTCTTATATCGAATTCCAACTGCCAAGGGATCTTTTACGTGCATTCTAATGTATACACGGGGCCTCGGTTTTTCGTCTCATCCGAAGGACTAGACGGCTGTCCTTGTCAGGCCGAAAAACACATAGGACACACTTCTATGGAATACATCGTTCAGTAACAAACAGTGATTGTATTCCATATAATTGTGCCCCTTGTATTTCCACTTCAATTACTAAATGACACTAAAACAATTTATATTAAAGAAAATGGAAAATATGAATTATATTACCAGAATATCTATTTCTTCTCATTTCAGATAAAGATTAATTAAACGCCGTCCATATACCTACCGAAACGTTGATTTGGCGGGATGCTTCTATTTGGAAAGTAAGTGCACAAACTTTGTTATTTAACTATAAATCGTTTAAAGCGGGATGAATGAAATGGGGTTTGACGTTCTATTGCTTTGCACGAACTTGGCTAATAAAGACAGTCGTTTGAAACTAGTAAATGCGTTTAATTTTTTAAACCATTGGTTATTCTAATTATTAGTGAAAGGGGTAATGTACCAGGCATAGTAAGCTGAATGCCTCTAGAACACCCGATATTTTCATCACACATAGTTAAATCTAAGACAGAAAAGCAGATACGGGTTCTTCGCTTAAATAAAACATAAAAATACCAATTACTACATTAGTCTCAATATGACCTAAGAATTGTTTATGAGACTTATGAGACACCGAAGCCTATTTCATTCAATATTTTAGACCTAGATGACTAATTCGTTCCTTTAAAATTGTTTTTCATCATACCGAGTGCTTATTCGCGTCAACTATTGTGTTATTTTTCATTTTAAAAGGCGCTGACAATGAATGTTGTAAAGTATTTTAAAATTGTTATATGATATTTATGAACTATATAACATATCTGTCTAGTGTATTGTTTATCATTCGACGTGTATATAGAGTGAGTACAGTTCGTCCAAATTTATTAGATTAGACTAGATATTTTTAGGACACTCATATGGAATTATTGAAATAATTTAATAAGGCTGTTAACGGGCACCTTTCTCGACCTCCAGCCTCGATCGACAAATTTATGACGCCAAGGAATCTTGGGGTTCTGACTCGGGACTTTCAACAACAGAGAAAAAAGTCTGGCAGAATTAAAAGGACAAAGAGTCTGTGCTGACCTTAACAACATAGGGTGCGGGAATTTAAGCATTTATGCCACTCTGGGAGGGCTGTTGCTCATTTTAAAATATTTTAGTAAAATTTATTGAAAGCCTGGCCGGACATTATGACAATACGACATAAAACAAAAAGCTATTTGTTCGTGAGAGCCATCGCCTGTAAGTGACCCGGTTTTGAGCAGAAATTTGGCAGCAACGCATTTAGTAAAATCAAACCTCCGTTTTAAAATAGATCCTCTGACTCTCTTATCCAAATTCCGACATAAAGACCTTATTTCGTTTTACTTCAACAAAAAAATATATTTGGTGTTTTTTGGATTTGCGACTTGTTGTAAGCGCTCTGGGTATCGCATTTAGACTTGGTCCGCAATATGCAAGTAATTTAATCGTATTCCCAGGAACTGTAATGTATGCCAGCTGGAGACAGCCTCAAGATTCTGAACAATACCAACTAGTAAATTAAAAGCCCCGGGAAAGGGGAAGAGGGTTCCGATTACACATATGATTCACGCTTTTTGAAAATAATATGTTGAGAAAAATGTAAAAATTGTGACTAAATTCTATGTTGGACAGTCTATAGTAGATTTGGGGTATTTCCTGAACTTTTTAAACAAGTGGTGGCCATCGGGCGCATTTACCTCGTTTACTGTAGAGTATAATCGTTTTATATACAAAACTACTCAACGCCGCTCTTGAAAATGCTATCTAAAGCGAAAACATTTGGCAGGGGTCGCGTGTTAATGTATAAGCATATTGAAGAGACTGAGTTTATACTACAAAACAGTCTCGTATCGTTTCCCCAACACCAGACCCTACTGAGTTTTTCTCGTCTCGCTCGACTATATTGATGCTCTAGCTGAAATGATCAATTAATTTATATGCTCATCGCGCCGTGTTATGACATAGCGCTCTTGGTTGAACGTGCTTCAGTGTGTGGTCATTTAGCTGTCAAACACCGAACTCGATTTTCTCATTGGCTAGTGCAGTGTTATGGGCGGAGCTTAAAACCTTTTATGGCGTAGTAGTAGCGCATCGAATCACATGTCGATGTATATATCTGTATGGTTGTGAGGGACTTTGCTCTATCAGTACCGACTATAACAAACATACGAGTGTGACTTTTAGTAATATTTAGTGTTATCTCTGTTAACAGAGGCATGCAGCACGCCGGACTACAGTCTCCCTACTCTACGGCTGGGGTTTCCAGCATCCCCAATGGTTCCAGTCTTGGAATGGTGCCGTTTCTCGGAGATCAAAACAACCTGAACTACTATCGTCATGGTGGATATACTGGCATGGCCATGGGAGGAATGTCGATGTACGGACCGGAGAATTATGCTGTTGCCCGACCCTCCCCGTATGGAACCTACGCTCCACAGCACCACATGTCCAAGGATATGGTTAAACCTCCATACAGCTACATCGCCTTGATCGCCATGGCTATACAGAGCAGCCCGGAGAAACGAGTAACGTTAAATGGTATTTATGCTTTTATTATGGATCGTTTCCCCTTCTACAGGGAAAATAAACAAGGGTGGCAGAACAGTATTCGTCATAATCTGTCCCTGAATGAGTGTTTCATGAAAATACCCCGTGACGACAAGAAACCAGGTAAAGGTAGCTATTGGACACTAGATCCTGATAGTTACAATATGTTTGATAACGGAAGTTATCTTCGACGACGACGACGTTTCAAAAAGAAGTTGGCTCAAGCGGATAAGGACGATCGGGAAAAACGTGATTTGGAAGACAAGGACAAGGTTAAAGCACACGAAAATGGCGATTTAAATGGTGAAACATCAGTATCCAGCAATGCCGGAAGTCCTGATTTAATGGTCAAAGTTGAGAAGGAGAATCATCAAAATAATTTGGATTCATCACCCGTGTTATCGAGCACCAAGCTAGAACCGATGGACTCTCCAAAAAGTGAATGCATGTCTGCACCACGCCCACCTACTGCTAACTCTTTACCTATTCCTCATGATCCTATTGACGGCGGGCCGTGCAGCAATTTTTCCGTGGAAAATCTCATGACATCGAATCACGGAGTTTCTAACTGCGATATCAACTCTGCTAACAGTTATATTACTAGTCGGCCACCACCTTTAGTGTCACCGCAAGTTTTATCCTATTCTCGATCAACTGATCTATATCGTAATCCTACGACCCAGAACACTCCCTCCACCTATAACTACCCGTGCAGTGCTCAAGCCGTGTTTCCCAGTGGATCTCAACATATGTCGATCGCGCAACAATCGTCTCTTTCGCAATCATCGGACGAGGGACATGGTTGTAACTCACCCCATGCGTCGATTCCACCATCAAATGGACTTAATCCAAGTGTATTCTCTGTGACGCAGCCCAGCTCGTTTCCGCGACAAAATAGTTGGTATATGTCCTCATCATCCGAATTAAATCACGGTACGGACTTCACAACCTCGCCATTTCCAAATGTTCGGGATATGTTCGATTCTCAAAGACTTCTTAGTGCTCAGGGGCAAGGACAATCCGCTTCAAGTTGTCAACTAGCTTTCCGAACCCCTTATAAATCAAGCAACCCATATGCATACGATTGCACGAAGTTCTGAACTATATATGATATGTAACTTGAGAATAAATAAACGATTTAAGCTCGGACTTCATATGGGTACAAATTTTGCTAAAACATTCAGTTATTTGGTGTAAATGTGTCTGTGTAAACATTGTTTTAATTTTGACTTATTCGTGAACTATAGTCTATATATATATATTGATAAACAGTAGTTCCGCAGAAAAAAAGAAGTCTCGCAGAAAAGACAGTTAATAATTTTATATTATGCATATTGACATAGTAAATAATATAAGAATATATAAATATTGATCGACAGAAAAAGAGATGAATAATAAAAAGTCGAACGACAGTATGGATGTGCCGAGAACTTATAATGAAACTCCCCAAAAAAAGCTTTCACTCAAAGATACCAAAAATGACTCAATTGTCTGTGAACTCTATTAATTGTGAATCACCTCCTTTTTGTGTACATTTGGAATTCATTTTTAAAAGGTAGGCTAGATACTTTTCTTCAATGCAGTTTCATCACACATTCACTATAACTGTTGACTACCGTTAATAAATGTGCGTAAACCCCTTTGTATGTTTAATATGTCGGTTATTTAAGGCAAAGTGTTGTAAAATAGAGTGTAAAAATAATAGGACAAAGTGCTCTTTGAAGAAATTTTAGGATTTCTTTAACGTTATTGTAAATGTTCCCTGTATAGACAAATTTTAAGGGTCACAGACTTTCTTATTGTTGTTTTTGAACTTGAATTTTTTTTTTTAGTTCATTTTTATTTTATTTTAGAAAAAAGCCAAAACCCAATTTTGTATAAATTATTAATCAGTGCTGAACAAAAAAAAAACAATATCTGAAAATATTCTCCTTTCATTTTATTTAGGATTCTTATTTTAAAAAAAAAAAATCAGTATTTGAATCACCCATCATTTTGTATTTTACATGTATCCATCAATATTCTTTGCAACACCAGTTCATGTCTTGTAGGCCTATGCATTTATTGGCACCCATTGGAATAATTCCATCATCAGTCACAATTTTTTTATTTAGTAATTATTCAAAGGCAGTTGAAATTTTTTTTAGAATGCATTGTATTTTTACACAGGGCTATTCAGGGTAGATTATTACACTTTTATGACATTTTATCAATTTGTTGTAAATGAACAGAAAAAATATAATAGATAAAATATATAAATTGTTGTTCTGTGCTTTTTAAGGAAAACGAAATTAAATATTATTATTTATTAGTAAAATAATAATTACTGAATGAGTATATTTATGTTACAAAGGTGAATATATTTTGCCAGTGTCTTTAGATATTTTAATAATTCTTGCAATTTAATTATCTATCAGTCGAGTGTTTATTTACATAGAATCTTGTATATATAAACAAATAAATATTGTTATAAATAATAATGTGGCAATAACACCAATTTAATTTATTTTTTAAATAAATGCATATGAAACAACATTGACATTTTTCATTCATTTTATTATATTTCTATTATTTATTTATTTATTCATTACTAGAAAAATAAATCAACAATTTAAAACAATTCTAAACATAAAGACGGTGTTATGATTGGAAATTAAATTGCAAGAAATATTAAATAGCTTGTATGCTGGCAATAAACATAAGTTCTATATCTGAACACGGTTTCAAAGTTCACTGGCAATAGTACGAATACCGCTAGGCGTTTGATCAAGGGGAATTTAGGTGAAAATGTGCTGATATTTACGCCTTAAGAAATTGGCGTAGATGGCAAATTATGATAAGAAGGCAGTGAGAAGATTAGAGAGCGATAAGCCTATTAAGTTCAATTGATGGTGTCTTACTTTCGTCCTTATAATACGTATATATAGTATTTACAGTGGGGAGATGTACATAGAAGGTATACTGGGGCTAGTTAACCGTGTACATTATTAAAATGCTTTACGGCACACATATCAGTCTGACAGATGGGCCAGTAAATTGCTGAAAGATGATTTAACAAAATGCTAAATAGACCTCGTATCAAAATTCTTAAGTTCACAGAAAGGTTGTCAGATCCAATTTTACTCTGTTAAACGCATTAACAAACAAAATTCGACATTTTTCTAAAAACTTGACAAAAACTATCGAGCCATGTTCTCAGGCTTTCGTTCACATCTCCAACAGCCTGTTAAACAAAGAAAAAATTAAACCTACATTTAATTTCATATTTTTTATTTGTTATGTGTGTGTTTTGTGTATTACGGGACAGGCGAAAGTGGTATGATGACACCATCCTAGTCCCTCGTTAAATCCACTAGATATTATAAATATACAATAGCAAAGAGGCTACTTGGTAAGAGTATTTTGTTATCGTCTGCCCATAGAAATAAAGCACTCACTCAAACTACTATAAAATATACAATCTCAAGTGCTTACATACAAAAATAACAATTTTACGCCATTCAATTTTGGAAATGATTGTCGCCCTTTAATTTGCCTACTCTGTGATTAACTTAAGTAAATGTACACACAGAATATCAAATAAAAATATATTTCTCAGGGTGATCAGAGAAATAACAAATAGACGGAATAAATCGACAGGTTCACATCGTCATATTGTACAATCAACCTCAATAAAAATATCAGGATAAAGAAGAGATATAATAAATTGACCGGGCATATTAAATGAGGTATTAAAAATCTCTAGGGATTGTAAAAGAAGTATGAATATGCATCTTTGATGTTCCGCAATACAAATTCTATATTGGATCTTTTTGAGGACCTTTATGACATGAACTTGACAGTCTGCTTTTGAAAATCTCTATGGACAGGTGGCTGAATATAATATAGGTACAAATTACATTACAGTCAATATGCATATTTTGTGCTCAGCAATAAAGCCCTATATTCGTTCATTTAGGAACTTTATGGCATGAACTTGACAGTCTGATTTTGAGTGGATTTCCTGACGTCATGTAGGGCAGTGTTTACATTAGTCTGTGGTAAGATGGGTACCGTTTAATTAGTACCACTTCTCATTAACACGATGAACTCATCTAGCCGTTCATTTCTGCTCTTTCTGCCATCTTGTGTTCCACATCTTACGTAAGCCGACATTCGTCCAATCAGGCCACCTATAGAGATCAACAGCTACCATGATGATAGATGTCTTTTTCCACAAAGTTCAGATTGATTCCAAAATTTCCAATTACCCGGCTTTTGTGAGTGAAATGTGTGTTTTTCTCATCAAATACTGCAGGTGATACCTACATGTTTTAACACAGAGCGCCATTTAATCATCTACACTGACGAATGTCAGAAATTAAACTTAATTACTTAACATATCTACCCAGAAAAAAAATCTCATAAATTTCAGAAAAGCATTTCGTCTCGTTTTATTATGAATTGTGATGTTGTTATTTTTTCAGCTACGAGGCATCATGAAACCGACATATTTTTGCCAGACCGCCATTCTTGTTTAGGGTGTATATATATATATATGTTATATACGTTGGCTAGTAACGAAGGGGCGTTCAAACTACACAGCTTTAGGTTATCAGTATTAGATCTGTCTAATAGCTCGGATTTCAAAGCTGTCAAATGTTGTAAATTTCAAAAGAAGATTTTAACGTAAAATAAAAGAGCACAAGACGAAAAACGCATTCACTTTTATCAGAGAATTCTCAAGGCGTTTAGAAATAGTTGTGTGTAATATCAAGAACGTCATCTGATTATATTTACAATAAAGTTTATTGTTGAAACAAATTTTCAAAATGGTTTAGTAGCAAATTGGTGTAGACGAAGATAACGTTTGTCTTGACTCGGTCTCTGTTAAACCGTTTTCGCGAAACTCGAGCTTTCCCTCCTGTGCTAATCTTGCTGAAACTGTTCAAAGTTGAGACAGGCTTTATATATTTTCGAACGCGTGTACCGTAGCAGATAAAAGCACAGAGCGTCCAATTTATTGATAAGGTTGATTTATTTACTAGTTTGGTTGCGGAGTAGGAAAGATGAATTGCTCTACGATAGAGCTCACTCTTCACCCCTGCTATATATTAGTAGAGATGCGACGATAAAGCTCCGTACGACAGACCATCTTATCATGTTCATCAATGACATTGTGTACATCGCATGGAAAAAAGTATGACGTATTAAAGAGAGGCAAATGAAAGAAAAATGAAAAGTATGTCATCATGAAATAAATTTCACACCCTAGCTCCTTAAAACAATTTCCTCTTGTTTGCTTTGGAAAAAACGAAAAATAGATTTTTTAAACTAGCATTGTTCCTCAAGTACATAGAGGTTTCGATATTTCAACCATTCTTAGCATCAATAATTTGTGATCATTTTCAAAATCGACAACTTTCTTTTAAAAAAAAAGGAATTTTCAAGACAAAGAGAAACAGAAATAAATATTGCAACCAAAATTATAAATAAATAATATAAATAAAAAATGCAACAGCAATTAATTAATAAAATGGAACAACACATAAAAAATTATTGTAAAATTAATTAAAAATTAATTAAAGCTTGTACACACAGACTTCAATATATGATATATTTGCTTTATATTATCTGTATATATTTAAATACATACTGACGGTGTATAACAAATACATATATCTCACCATTAACTTAAGTAAATATAGAAATAAATTTCATAGCCACTGATAGTCAGGGCCTGGTGAACATATGTATTTTATTTCCGCCATTTTAGATATTACACAAAATATTTCTTATATTGAAAAGCTCCGAGAAGAAAGTTAAATATTTTAATTGTTATAAAATAATTGTATGATTTGTGTTTTTTTGCTGTATGGATAACCAATTAAATAAATACTGCCATTTAACGATATGTATCAGACTATTTGTGTGAAATGTAAATAGTCGACCATTCTTGTCATCTTGACTTGAATAAACGTATTGAGTAATGAAACATAAAGCAAAATACAGCCATGGGGCTTATTGGCAGTCTACAACAGATCGAACTCTCAAGAATGAAAATCGACGATCTTCGTATGTCTAATGAATCGTTTCTGTGGGCATTAAAGATCAATTAAAATATGATGAAGAAAAAAATAGATTTTCATCAGGTGGGCCAACTTAGCCAACTCCGTTCCAATTACCTTTCTACTGGTTTTATTGTAAACACGAGGTTGGGTCGGTTCCAAGAAAGTGTGTTGTGTGGTCGTCTTGGCACATTGTTGTTAAAAGCATGTCTATCTCAGAGATTCTGATACTAATGTAACAAAGGAATCATTATTAATAGACCATGACTAATTTTTCTTTGTTAAATAATAATGATATACAGAAATTCCTGGGACTAAAATATGATTACATATTCTAGATTCTGAAACGGGGTAATAATTTGGAGACTAACATATGACTATGAATCTTTTGTTAAATATTAAATAAATAAATAAAATATGATTAGGGTCTGAAATGGGATCAATGGGACGAACTTACGATCATTTGTAGACGAATATACCATTATTCGGAGACTAAAGTATGATTTTAAATTGTGGGTTCATTGTGTGAAAAGCGAGGGAGGAATTTGCCCGAGCAGTGTTCTTTCCAAAAGCCCTCCTCTCTTTCAATATAATTTGAAGAACCAGACGAAATTGATAGACAAAGAATATCCTATATTTCCTAATTTTAAGACTGGATAAAGATTCTCATTAAAGAAACATTATGTAAGATTTAGATAAAGAGCTGGTCGTTCTTAATATATTTCAAGAATAGATAATACAAAATGAATATATTGAAAATTTCATTTACATTTCTTTATTCTGAGCGAAGGTATCAATGTTTGTAGTTTTGATGAGATGTGTGCATTGATTGTATATTATCGTAACCGCCGTACTGGTTGTTCGAGACCTAGCATCTCCATTTGTAAATTAAATCATTAAATAGCCGAAGAGTTCTAATCTACTTAAAATATGAGCCTTCCGATGACCTAGAGAGTTGATTATATGGTCTTGACATGTTACTGAATGTATCATTAATAGTTCATATAACATTTAAGGCCTTAAGAAAGACCTACAATATGCATATTTAGCTCTTGAATAATGCCTCTGTAAGAATTCCTTTCAGTTGTCCAGTATCACTAATTGTTCTGTATCTTATAATTGTTTTGTTCTGTATTGTTCTTGCCATGACATGACATAATAAATAATAGTTGATAAATATTCTTATAATTGTTCCGTATCAATACAAAATACGAATC